GAGGGGGTCGGGGGATGGGGGGCCTCCCTGGCAGCCCTGGGGGCGCCTCGGGGCCTCGCTGGCGCTCCTGGCGACCGCCTGATGTTGCTCCTGCTCGCGGCGCGCCCCCCCCGGTCAGCCCGGCGGCGCGCCCCGCGCCCCGCGGTGCGCGGCGCGCGCCCCCCCCCCCGCGCCCTCGCGCCGCCGCCCTGGAGACGGGCGCCCTGCCTCTCCAGCCGGCCGTCGCCCCCCCATTATAGGGAACGCCCGAGGGGGTCCGAGGTGGCCCGGCACTGGCCGTCGCCGGCAGTGGCCGGCCCCGGCAGTGGCAGGGCGCCCTGCCTCTCCAGCCGGCCGTCGCCCCCCCCCTATCTGGGAACGCCCGAGGTGGCCCAGCACTGGCCTTTTGGTGAGCAGGGAGGGGGGTCGAGGTCCGAGGTGCTGGGCCCGAGCAGGTCTCTGCTGCCTTTGCGGCACCGGGGGGCCGTGAAGATGGCGCCAGGCGGACCCCGAGAGGGGCCCCGGGCACGGACTTGCAGCGGGCTTGCTGGGCCAGTGCTGGGTTACCTCAGACCCCCTCGGGCGTTCACTAATGGGGGGGCATCCTCCCCCAGCCGGGCCGCGACGGCGCGGCGCGCACCTCCCTTCGCGGGCCCTCGGGCGACCTGGCTCCCCCAGGGGGGTCCTGGCGCGGCAAAAGCCCCGGCCGCCCTGCGGCGGCCCAGGGGGGGAGGGCCCGCTGTGCGGGCGCTGGGGGACCGAGGACTGCCAACACACACCGTGCGTCGTGCCCGTTGTGCCACAGCGCGGGCAGGTCCGCCCATCGTGTCATACAGTAGGGCAAGGAACCCAACCCTTTTGTCGGGCATGTCCCCCTACAGGCGGATTTGTGGCGAAAATTTGAATTTTTTCAAGAAGTACACCCAACTAGTCAAGCGTAGTCAAACATCGTCCCCAGGCTATGGTTTTTGGTTTCTACTATGTTTGAATACTCCTCCCGCAGAGGGACACGCCCGACTCAAGCCAAACACCGTCCGTCGTGCTTGTGGCCACGGCGCGGGGAGGGCAGACCATCCTGTCATACGGTAGGGCGAGAGACCCAACCCTGAGACCCCAGGGCGGCCGTCCAATTTTGGTGCGGGGGCGCCACGCTTTCCACAGCAAGGGCCAGCCATCGACACCCGCGAGACCCAGGGCACCCTGGAGGCGAGCAAGGCCCCATTCTTGGCAGGGCCCCCCCCCCCCCTGCAGCCCGGGCCGACCTGGGTGGCCGCCCAGGGTCGACCGAGTCGGTCTGGGCTTTTCCGCCTGCACGCTCCGGGCGAGGCGCCCGGCGCATACCTCCAACGACCGACGAGGCATGCCGCAACGCCCTGCGCGAAGCTGCGCCCGCCGCGCGAAGAGGCCAGGGTCGGGTCGGGCATGTCCTCCTGGAGGCGTATTCTGAACGAAGGGGAAAACAGCATAGACAAACAATACTCAAACCTAGTCAAGCATGATCAAAAAAGCCGTCCTCACACCACTTCTGGACTGCTTTTTTGAACATTCCTCCCGTAGAGGGACGGGCCCGGCTTGAGGCCAGGGTGGCCATCCGTGGCAGCCGCGGAGACACCCTAAGGCCAGGAAACTCTCTGACGGAGCCGTGCGCGCGCGCCCGTCCTCGTCTCTCCGGCGGGGCCGCTCCTCCTCCTTCGGCTTCGAGTCCTCCTTCCTGCGGGCAGGAGCTTTGCGAAGACGGGGGGGGCGAGCAATTTCTAACAGCCCTGCGGCAAATCATGAAGCAAACTATTCCTCAGCGGTGTAGGGCACATCTAGGAGTGATGGGAGAGCGAGGCAGATCGGATTGCAGGGGCGACGTCTTCGCGACTTGTGGGGGAGCCCGTTGGGGGGCAGCCAGGAGGTGGGGCATGCATCAGAACCATCCCTATTCACCAAAAAAGTCAGCCCCCCGCAACAAAAAAAACGTCAAGATATGTGTACATATATTTGTATATATATATATATGCAAACATACCTACATACATACATACATACATACATACATACATAGATACATAGATACATAGATACATACATACATACATACATACATACATACATACATACATACATACATACATACATACACACACATACGTACATACATACATACATACATTCATGCATGCATGCATGCATGCATACATACATACATACATAGATGCATGCATGCACACATACATACATGTATATACAAGATACATACAAACATACATACATACATGCATGCATGCATACATACACACCTATATACATACAGGCATGCATACATGCATGCATGCATACATACATGCATGCATACATACATACACACATACAGACATGCATGCACACATGCATGCATACGTACATACATACACGTATACCTACATACCTACATACATACATACATACATACATACGGATGTACATACATACATACATACATACATACATACATACATACATGCATGCATGCATGCATGCATGCATGCATGCATGCATGCATGCATGCATACTTACATACATACATACACACATGCATACACACATATCTATATGCCTACATACCTACATACATGCATCCATACGTACATACGTACATACGTATATACGTACATACGTACACACGTACATACATATATACGTGCAAACGTACATACGTACATACGTACATACGTACATACATGCATACGTACACACGTATATACGAACATACGTACATACGAACATACGAGCATACGTACATACGTACTTACGTACATACATTCATACATACATACATACATACGTACATACATACAAACATACATACATGTATAACACAAGCCTCCTAGAAGCTGGCGGCCCACAGGGTAGGTCAGTTCGTAAATGCATGCAGATTCTCCGAACTCCCTTACTGAGGCAACCACCAGTGCACCGTACCTGCAGGTCAACTTCTTATACCAAAGGCAGGCGGGGGTTCTGAATTCGAAGGGTGTCTGTGTCGGAGTGAACCCCAGCCCGAGTGTCCGATACCCAGCGCCGATTGGGCCTGCAAGGACTCGTAACCCTTTGAAAGGGGACCTGAGTTAGGAGGGCCTGGAACATTAGGGATAGGGGGTCTTTCTGCAGATGTATCGAACCAACCTGCCCAGATGTATTTTTCCGAATGCGAAGACAGGGACCTCAGTGAGGCCACGTCTTCAATGAATTGGTGGCGCAATGAAGGCACGATCAATGGCATCGAACCAAGAAGTCGGATCCGGCCGCATGGGCACGAACTCGGAATCGGATCGGGCTGGCCGCGCAAGGCTGAGACCCCAGGGCGTCCGTTCATTTTTGGTTTGGCAGCGCCACGCGTTCCACAGCGAAACAATCGAAACCCGAGAAGCCCAGGGCACCCTGGAGGCAAGCAGGGTGTTCCTCGGCATGGGTCCCTACTGCAGTCAGAATACTGGAATCGACCGAAGTCGACATCGAATCGGATCGGCAGGGGCCCTGGAGGCTCGCTGGGCGTGCGCTTCGGCGGAGCCGACCAATGAAGGTGCCCTGGGACACACAAATAAATAGACACAGAAAACCAGGAATTGTTGACGCTTCGCGTATCCCCACCAGCCCATCCAGAAACGATGCTCAGGGGAGTTAAGGTGATCAGGGAAGTCGGGGAGCATGCAGAATAACAAAGGGCGGGGGAAGCTGTCACAGACCCCGAGAGGGGGAGGATGGAAGAGGAGTCGTCGTCGTCGTCGTCGTCGTCGGAGGAGGAGGAGGAGGAGGAGGAGGGGGAAGAGGAGGAGGAGGAGGAGGAGGAGGAGGACGGAGAAGGAGGAAGAATCGGAGGAGGAGGAGGAGGAGGGGAAGGAGCTTCTTGGGGGTCTTTTGAGGGCCTCTTGGAGGGCTTTTTGGGCGCCTTGGGGCATCTTGGGCGCCTCTTGGGACCCTCTTGAGGCGCTCTGGGGAGCCTTCGGGGCGCTTTTGGGGCCATCTTGGAGGGAGTCGATCAAACAAGAGGGGGGGTTTAATTAGCGCCCCCCCTCGGAAGCCCCTAAAATCGCCTCTTGGACCCCTCTTGGAACGCTCTTGGAGTGCTCTTGGGCGCTCTTGGGGCCGTCTTGGGGCTCTTTTGGGGCTCTCTTGGGGCCCTCTTGGGCCATCTTGGAGCCATCTCCAGGCCTCGGATAGCCATCGGAAGCGAAAAGGCGAGAAAGCAAAAATCATTGATTTTCCTTAGGTTTTGGGACGATTTTGGCCTCTTCGGGGCCTCCTTGGGGAGCTGTTTGGCCACTTGGAGTTATCTTGGGGCCGTCTTTGGGCTTCTTGGAACCATCTTAGGAGCCATCGTGAGCGATCTTGCGCTATCTTGAGCCATCTTGGAGCTCATCTTGGGTTCTCTGAGGCGCTCTTGGAGCCGTCTTGGGCCATCTTGGACGCTCTAACTACCCGCGGCCCCCCCCGTCCAGGTCCAGGGGAGGGGGTAGGGGGAGGGGTAAACCCCTCCCCAAGGGGGAAGAGGGAGGGGTGGAAGAGGATCTGTTCTAGACCACCTACGCCCAGAGGGCTGGTGGGATTTCCCATACTTTTCCCAATATTTTCAGGGTTTCCGTCTTCTCCCCCCACTTCCCATATCCCACCAGCCCTCTGGGCGTAGGTGGTCTAGAACAGATCCTCTTCCACCCCTCCCTCTTCCCCCTTGGGGAGGGGTTTACCCCTCCCCCTACCCCCTCCCCTGGACCTGGACGGGGGGGGCCGCGGGTAGTTAGAGCGTCCGGAAGCGAAAAGGCGAGAAAGCAAAAATCATTGATTTTCCTTAGGTTTTGGGACGATTTTGGCCTCTTCGGGGCTTCCGAGGGGGGGCGCTAATTGAACCCCCCCTCTTGTTTGATCGATCTCTTCCAAGATGGCCCCAAGAAGCGCCCAGGAAGCCCCAAGAGGTCCCAAGATGGCCCCAAAATGGCCCCAAGAGGCCCCCAAGAGGCCCCCCGGAGGCCCCCAAGAGACCCCCAAGAGGCCCCAAGAGCCCCCCCAGATGCACCCAAGATGCTCCAAGAGGCCTCGGCGAGAATGCCTAATCATTGATTCTACACAGGTTTTAGCCACATGGAGGCCTCTTGGGGGGGGGCACGGATTAAGATGACTCCAAGAGCGTCTGGGAGAGCCCAAAATGACCTCCAAGATGGCTCAAGATATCCCAAGATGTCTCATAATGGCTTCCTCTGTGTGCTGCCCACTTCTCTGATCGAGGCAATTCCTCTGGGCATCGTTTCTGGATGGGCTGGTGGGGATTCGCGAAGCGACAACAATTTTCTCATATCTTCTGGGGAATCGACGATTCATTGTGTCTGCGTGTTTTTCCCCTCCTGGACCAAGTACCGACCGAGAGCCGTCCAGGAGCTGCCCCACCAAACTTCTCCAGGTTGCCCTCCCGCGGGCCCGGGGCCGCCCTGGAAACCGTGTGTGTGCTTCCCTCTCTCGTTGACGTTCTGGTTAGCACAGCAGGAGGCCTTGAAGGGGCCCTGGTACACACAAACAGATACACACAAATAAGAGGGATTCCCAAATATTTTCCATATTTTCTGGAACCTGTGTGTGCTTCCTCTCTTGTTGACGTTCTGTCTAGTACAGCAGGAGGCCCTGAAGGAGCCCTGGGACACACAAACAGATAGACACAAATAACTGGGTTTTCGGTTTCCCCCCCACTTCCCAGATGATGCTCCCATATTTTCCTGGGGAGTCGACGATCAATTGTGTCTGTGTGTTTGCTTCCCTTCCTGAAGAATACTGGTAATTTTGCAGGCCCGATGCATGGATCGGACCCGCCCCCATCGCCGAAGTAGTCCTCAACTTGCATGGTCGTGCTAGGGCCCCCGCACGGTCTTGCCTCGCACCCGGGCGAGCGTCCGCTCCGGTGCCGCCGCAGAGGTTCACGGGGGGAGTTCACAGGGAGAGTGAATAGGAGGAGTTAGCAGGGGGAGGCAATGCCACCCGAGGGAACGATGGCGAAGAAGCGAAGGGATTATTTTGGCCACGGCGAGCCTCGGCCACGGAGTGATGCCCCGACCCTGATGTAAGGAACGATCCAGAAACCAGAGCCCCTCCTGCGATCCCCTCCTGAGCCCAAAGCGGTCCTTGTTCCAGCGACTCGATTGTAAGGGCCCTTCCCACCACGCACGCGCGGGCACGCTCGCCCCCGCCCATTCTCTCTCATCTGCTGCTGCGGGGGTCCTATGTACGATTGTTCGTCCGTCAACTCCGGCGTCCTTCGTCATGATGTTGTCACAGCTGGACTCCTTGTCATCCCGACTAGGTTTAGGTCGGGCGTGTCCCACAACAGGCGGATTTTTGACGAAACATACAACAAGCAAAAAACATATTCACAACATGCAACAGGAAAACTCCAAAGATTGTCCCCACACTTTTTCGGGGGGGTCTATGTTTGAATTTTCCTCCTGTAGAGGGACACGCCCGAGTTACGTTTATTTTTTTCGCGGTCCCGTGGCCCGGCAGAGGCCCATACAGGACGCTGAAACCAACCAAAAACCTCTCGCGCTGTCGTTGGTAACAACGCGGCTCGCCAGGAAATCCTGGCAGCGCAGAACAGCGAGAGAGTCACTGCCTCCGATGGCTTACGAACTCGAAGTCGAATCTCCTGGGGTCGCGTGCCCGTCCAGCACGCTGTGGGCGTCGGCGCACGAGCTGGACCCCTGAGGACTCCTCGAACAGAACATGGCACACAACACACGCGCAGAAAGAGAGGAGCGAGATGGGACAGAATGGACTCAGTGTACCTCCAGGGCGCGAGAGAGAGAGAGACACACGTTTCAAGTCAGCGGGCGGACAGGTGCGGAAGCAGCCAGGCGCTGGTCGAGCCTCGAACCGGGGCGCGCCGAAGCCAATAGGAGGCACGATGGAAAAGGAAAAGACAGGAGCGAAGGCGAATACAGTCGGCCGGTATCATAAGGATGCGCGGTGAGGATGCAGGGGCCTTGGAAGGCCATGTCTAAGCTTCTCGAGCGGGGCGCGGCCGACGAAAGTGGCCGAGGATGGACCGAGGAGGCAAGGATGCAAGGTCGCCCTTGGGAAGGTTGCCCATCCTTGCTGTGCGGATTGACTGTATAGAGACACGCACACACACACAGACGCACACACATACACACACAACACACGCACGCACGCACGCACACGCACGCACGCACGCACGCCGCGCACGCACGCACGCACGCACGCACACGCACGCACACACGCACGCCTTGCACGCGCGCACGCCGCGCACGCGCGCACGCAAGCACGCCGCGCACGCATCCTCTCCGTTGTGCGGAGGCGCCCGTCTGCGGCCGAGAGCACACCGCCGCGGGCCCCCTGGCCGCGGGCGCCGCCTGGCGCGGGCGGCCCAGCTCTCCCCGCGGCAAACGGCCCGCGCACCAAGCAGGAGAATCCTTTCTCCTCCACGCGCTCCCCCAAGATCTCACCCTCTTCCTTCGGAGGTTGATAGACCTCCTACCTTAACACGTCGATTAGCGAATCGGCCGTTTTCGGTTCGCGAGAGGGCGTCGCGGCCGTCCTTTTTGCGGGTCCAGGTCCGTCGGTTTCGGTACTAGGCCGTTTTCACTAAAGGGTGGTTTACTTCAGGGAAGTTTATCCACCGCCGATTCCTGGACTCAGCAACGATCTCTCTCCAAAGTTTCTCCCTCCCCCTCTCCCGGGGGGGAAAGACGAGGGCTAGAGGGGGGAAACGGGGCGGGGGTGGGCTGGAGGGAGGGGAGGAGGAGGAGAAGGAGGAGGAGGAGGAGGAGGAGGAGGAGGAGGAGGAGGACTGGCAGGAGACGGGTCAGAGAGTAGGCGGCAGAGAAAGAGGAGGAGTCAGGGCCAGTGTAGACCCAAGACTCAACAACGATGTTGGAATCAACCCTCCTTCCGAACTCCCTCTTCACAGACGCCTGCAAGAATTCATATCCACTGCGAGAAACGTACCAACAACACAATTGGAAGATCCAGAAATGCCAAAAACGTGACAACCGTTGGAAGATCCAGAAACGTACCGAAACACCATTCTCGGAACTTCAACATCAACTTGACTGTTGCGTCTTGGCGATCCTGAATCGTGCCAGAACGCCAACGAACCACCTTTTGAAAAAGAGCCGCCCTCAATCCGTGAAACTCTTGCCTTCTTTGCAAACGCGATTGCGAAGCGCACCAAGGCGAGAACCACATGATGAAAACGAACCACCCTCAAGCCGTGAAGCTCTTGTATGATGTTACGACATGTGCGCGGCGCTAAGGCAAGAACCACATGTTGAAAACGAATCGCCCTGAATCCGTGAAACTCTTGCAAATTATCAGAACGAATGCGCGCGGCGCTCAAGCGAAACCAGACTCTGAGAACGGCGCGCCCTCCATCCGTAAAGCTGTTGCGAACTTCAAGCTTCAAGATCATACATGGAGAAGAAATCTCAGGCGAAACGCTCGGGTCGCCCTTTCGACCAGCCTCGGGAAGGGACAGGGAGGAGTTATTTATGCAATTGGGAGGAGGAATACATAATGTGGAGGAGAAGGAGGAGTCATGAGGAGAAGGATGAGGTTGAGGTAAATGGGAGAAGCCAGGAGGAGAAAGGAGGGATGGTGGGGAGAGGGAGGGGGAGGAAGAGGAGGACGCCGAGTAGGAAGAGGAAGACAATGAGGAAGAGGCGGCGGAGGAGTCAGGAGGAGGAGGAGGAGGAAAGAGGATGATGCGGAGGAGGAGGAGGAGCAGGAGGAGGAGGGCAAAGATGAGGAGAAACATGTGGTGGAAGGAGGAGGAGGAAGAGGAGGGAAGAGGATGAGGCCACATGACGAGCGAGGGAGAGAAAGATGAGGATGAAGATGATGAGTAGGATGAGGAGGCAGCGGCGCTCTGTGACCGCACTGGGGACGACACGCTTCCTGTCCATAATTCTGCCGCGGAGGTCGGGTCCTGCGCCGGCCGCGGTCGCTGTCGCGCGCCTTCTCCTTCTCCTCGTCCTTCCGGCGGTGCTTCTCGCCCATGCCTGGGGAACAGGGCGGCCCTGCTTGAGCATGAGAGGTGGGGGTTCTGAGGAAAGCGGGATCTTAAGATGCTCGCCGTTTTAGTCGATCTTCCAATGCCCTTCCTGGGCTCCAGGGCCATCGACACAATCGGACCAGGACGAAACGCTGGTCCTGGAAAGAGCCCTGGGCCCAAGACCTGTCTGCTCAATAATCCCTTCCCCTGGCTCTTGCTATGTTTTGCCCCTGGCCCTCGAGGATCCGGGAAGCATGTGCGTTGGGAGCTTTCGGAAGGTCTCTGCCCGTTTTTGTTCTCCCAAGCTTTCTAGAGCCTCCAGAGGTTTCCAGAGGCCCTTTTCGGCTTCCCGACGCTCCAAGACGGCGGTCTTCTGGGCGTCCTAAGCCGCCTGGGAGGCTCCAAATTCGCCCCACAACCATCCGAGAGGCTTCCAGGCAATCCAAGAGAGCCCCAAAACGGCACAACACGGGTCCAAGATGGCCCTCAGAGAGCCCCGTGGCGGCCCAAGATGGCCCCAAGACACCCTCCGAAGCATTCCAAATCGTGACCCGGTCGTTCAGGGAGACCGCGATTGGAGGCAGGGTGGCCCGAGGAAGCCCCCAGAGGCACCCAGAATACGCCCAGGAGGCCTCCAGAAGGCCTTAAGAAATCCTGCAACAACTGTTGTGAGGCCCCCAGAGGCTCTCCAAGGAGGAGCCTCCGCAAAAAAGAGCTGAGGAGGATGGGGAGAATGCGCAAGGTATGGCGAAAATGAAGGAAAAAACATGGAGGATGGATAACGAATAACATGATCATAGCGGCGATGCCGGAAAAGGCAACAAGGAGTTATCGCTAAATTGTCGGCTTGACCTTCCTGCTATCCCGCCTCCATACCAAACTTCATGGACCAAGGTGCATGTCGCGAAGCGCCACTGCAGCCTTGTATATATATATATATATATATACACATACTTGGGGCATGCACTGGCTGTCGCGACGCTCGACTTAGTCCAACTATCCTCCTCCTTCCACTTGGCGGTGGCGCGCCTGCGTGCGCGCCGCAGGCCCCGCAGCGGGCGGAGCGGGCCCCGATGGGAGGGCACCGATCACTTAGGACCGCAATCCTCGCACACCTTCCTCCTCCCTCTCCCTCCTTCCCGCCTCCTCCGCCTTGCTCCTCCTCCCCTCTCCCCCTCACTCTCCCCCTCCTCCTCCTCCTCCTCCTCCTCCCCCTCCTCCTCCTCCTCCTCCTCCTCCTCCTCCTCCTCTTCTTCGTTCTTCTTTTTCTTAGTGCGATTATTATTATTATGATTATTGTTGTTATTATCACTATTTGTCACCTTCGTCTTATTATTCTTATTCGTATCATTCTTCTTCTTCCACCTCCTCCTCCCCCTCCTCCTCCTACTCCTCCTCCTTCCCCTCTGCCCACGCTGAGATATCCGCTCCCTCCCAAACCACCAGAAACACACCCCCGGACCCCCGAGCACCCCCGAAGTCCTCCAGAGGGCCCCCCCTGAACCGCGGAGAGCCTCTAAGAGCCTCAGGAGACAAACCTCCGACGGCATCGAAGATCCTCCAGAGACCCAGGAGAACCCACAGAGACCTCCGAGAAACCTCCGAGTGACCCCGAAGAGCTCCAAGAGATCACCTGGAGACTCCGAGAATCTCCCAAACATCTGGCGTCGTGTTTCTGATTCCGCCCCGGGCTCCCCAAATGTCTGGACCCCTTCACGGGGACGGGCGCTTCATCTCGGAAACCAGGACGGACCCCTGGGGCCGAAACCTGCCCAAACCATCCGACGTGAGTTCTGTCACGACGCGACCTCGATCCTCGATCCGTGATCCTCGATCCTAGACCGCTCCTCGATCCTCCTGGATCCTGGATTCTCGATCCTCGATCCTGGACCCAGGGGCGCGTCGCCAGTCGATCCTCGATCCTCGACCCTCGACCCTCGACCGACGACGACGACGGCGGCGATTTCAGTCGGGCCTGTCCCTCTGCATGAGGAAGCTTCCCAAACAGGAAAAACATGGTCCGGGGACGATGCTTCTACTGTTTGCTGGCAACGTTGGAGATTTTTGTTTGGTATTTTCAAGCTTTCGACCTACATCCGCCTGTAGGGTTATGTTGTTCCCATCCTACTCAAGGACCACCTCCCAGAAATAATTCCGTCCACCCTAGAAAAGTGTCAAAAGAGTGTCGAAACAGTGTCGGGCGAGTGTCTCCCAGGGCCCGACACGTGAAAACCCTTGAGCTTCGGTACTTTTTCCTAGCGCTCGAAGTTCTTTCTGGTGATCAAGGCTAAAGTAGGTCGGAGCATCATAACTGTAGGGGGACGTGCCCGACCTGAGCGGCGATCCTCCCCGCGTGCGGCCTGCAGTGCGGGCGCGGCCGAAAGAAACCCTCGCAAGAAACCCAACCCTGAGAACCCGTGCGCAGGGTGCACCAGAGGGGAAACCTGGAGCACTCTGAACGCAGCAGCTCCTCCAACGGCCGCGGGAAGTCGCCGCGCCGCGCGCGGAGCGAAGAAACCCAGGACACCTTGACCAAAGGCATATGGTTTCTTGATGCGCGCCCCCAGTGTACATCCGCCTGTACAAAGGGATTTTCGACGAAAAATAAAAAATACGCAAAACATGCTCCATAATGATCAAACGATACTCCAAAATCGTCCCCAGACCATTTTCAGACTATTTTTGGATTATTTTGGGGGTATGTTATATGTTTCGTCGAAAATCCCCCTTTCAGGGGGACGGGCCCGACTTAACTATAGGGCGACGTGCCCGACCCGAGCGGCGATCCTCCCCGCGCGCGGCCCGGGGCGGGCCTGCGCGCAGGCTCCCTCCCCCGACGGGCGGCGGGGGGGAGGGGCGCGCCCGCGGGGAGGCCTTGGGCCGTGGGGCTCCGCGCCGGGGCGCGTCGCGGCGGTCTTCGCCGTCGTCATCGCCGTCGCCGTCGCCGTCGTCGTCGCCGTCGCCGTCGTCGTCGTCGCCGTCGCCGTCGTCGCCGTCGCCGTCGTCGTGGTCGTCGTGGTCGTCGTCGTCGTGGTCGTCGTCGTCGTCGTGGTCGCGGTCGTGGTCTTGGTCTTCGTCGTGGTCTTCGTCTTCGTCGTCGTCGTCGACGTCCGAGTCGCCGAGGTCGTCGCGGTCGCCGTCGTGGTGGTCGTGGTCGTCGTTGTGGTCGTCGCAGCGGCTGCCGTCGTCGCCGTCACGGTCGTCGTCGTGGCCCGTGGTGGTGGCCGCGGCCGTCGCAGGCGGAGGAGGCGCAGGAGGGACCAAGAACAGGAGGGAGCGAGAGAGGGAGCCACGGTGGAGCAGGAGGAGGAGGAGGAGGGGGAGGAGGAGGGGGAGGAGGAGGAGGGGGAGGAGGAGGAGGAGGAGGAGGAGGAGGAGGAGGAGGAGGACCACGACGACGACGAGGGTGGGAGGGAGGGAGGGAGGGAGGGAGAGTGAGAAGGCAGGAGGGCCCATGCCTCCTCCTGCCCCTCGCCCGCCGCGGGCCCTCCCACCTCCCCCCACCAACTCCTCCAGTCCGAGTCCGCTGCCGGGGAGCGGTCGTCTCTCGGCCCCGTCTGACGGTGCCGTCTGCTTCCTTTTCTCCACAGGTTCGACCCCTGAGGGGGTCCATCGGCCTGCAGTTGAACTTCTCTCAGTGCTTGGCTCAGGAGCCCGGAGGGGGTTTTGCCCGGAAATGGGGCGACTTACAACCAACAAAAGGACGGACTCCAAGCATCTCGGTGCCAATCCCCGACCAGGTGGTACCATTAAGTCGGGCGTGTCCCCCTGCAGGGGGATTTTTCACGAAACATACAACATATACAAAACATGTCCCAACAAGGTCAAAGAATACTCAAAAAATAATACCCTGACCATTTTTGTATTATGTTTGGATAATTTTGGGGGTATTCTTAATTTCTCGCCGAAATCCCCCCCTGTAGGGGAACAGGCCCGACTTAATAGTACCAATCCCAGCCGCTTCGAATCTGGGCTCGCCGATCTCAGGGATCCTGGGCTCCTGAGCTCCCGGCGGGTCACGAGCTCAGGAGCTCACTCAGCCCAGACATGCGACGTCCGGAGGCTCTCCGTGCGCGGCTCCCCGATCCCAGAAGGCCCGCAGGGCCCGCAGCCGCAAGACGAACATCCGCCCGTGGCGAACAAAAAAAGCGCCCAAATCTCGTGGGGGGGGGGGCCCACCGCGGTCGCTGGCTCCCCAGCGAGCCAACGGGAGGAGGAAGAGAGGAGGAGGAGGAGGAGGTAGGAGGAGGAGGAGGGAGTAGGAGGAGGAGGAGGAGGAGCAGGGGGGGGGGGGGAGGGAATGAAGAAGGAAGAGGGGAAAGTAGCTTTCCAACGGGCGGAGGAAGGAGAGGATGAGGAGGAAGGAGGAGGAGTGGAGTAGGAGTAAGAGGAGGCGGAGGAGGAGGAGAGGAGGAGGAGGAGGAGGGGGGGGGGAGGAGGAGGAGGAGCGAGGAGCGAGGAGGAGCGAGGCGAGAGAGGGACCAGCCAGAAGCCAGGAGCAGCCCTCAAGCCAACCCGAAATAGGCGAGCCATCCCGCGCGCCTTTTGCCAGCGGGAGGCGCCCCACCGCGGTCGCTGGCTCCCGCCCGTGGCCTACCGCACGGCGGCCCTCAGCAGGAAGTCCACCTTGCCCCGGTCGGCCTCGGGCGCCCCGTCCTCGGGCGCTGCGCCGTGGGGGCGGCGATACACACACATATATAAGCATATATATATATATATATATATATATATATATAATATTATATATAATATATATATACGATACACATATATGTATACATAGACATACACACAAACACATATGAATAATAAGGACATTTATACTAGAGAGAAACCCAAAACGTTATATAATACATATATAGGCATGTGCTTATACATACATACATACATACATAAGTATGTATACATATATACATCTGTCGGGGGGGATCATAAAGGTGCACCTCTCGTGCACTGCAGGGGCTGTCCAAGGAGCCCTCTGGGGCCCGCGAGGGGCCTGAAGGGCGCACGTTTTTCGCCCCGTCATGTGCCGCCCCCCCCCCTCATTAAGCAGCGCCCAGCGTCCCCGTCCCCCGCCGCCGCTGGCACCAGCCCGGCGCCCGTCCTCCTGGACGTGAGCGCGGCCAGCAGCCGCTTGGCGCCCTTGCTGGGCGTACCCGCCTC